TTTCATGTAAATTTTCTTGTATGAGCAAATAAAATTGTATTGTATTGTATTGTATTGAGAAGCCAACGAAAACTATCGTATCACTTATCTTGTAACATTGATGACCATTCCTTCTCTTTCGTGCTAATCCCGCGCGACGTGCGAGTCTCAACAGTTATATAGCACGTACACACGCCTTCATATTGGCAAAAGTTCATTTGAATACAGTCCTTTCACTAAACGTCGTTGATCGGATCATTCTACGCGGCCTACGCGCCTAGACCGAAAAGGATAACGGGTAAATTATCCGTTATCCAAACTGCTCGCCAGCGTTAAATCTTCGCCATATGCTCGAGGCATGGTTTTAGAAAATTAAATGGGATCAAAAACAGCGAGCTCAGCAGGGGGGAATTTTGCGAACGCTGGCCAAAAAATTCGCGGGCTTCCACATAAAAGCGCCAATTTGTTTACTTTTCGAAGGATTTGTAGTGAAAGGTGATTTTATTCAGATATTTCCCGTTGAAAACTTGCAGGAAATGGAGGATTTTTGCTAAAATTAAATCTGAGGCATTAGTTCTACCCTATAAAAAGTACAAAAGGACTTTTTTCTCGCTGTAAGATTTTTTTAAAACTTCGATCATATCACTGGTGGCTTTGATGAAACCCTTAGCAGCACATGGTCTTGGTTCAAACAACATCTAAAAAATTCAAAACCTTTTTGAAGGATTTCTTTAATTACATACTGATCAATTACATCTAGCCTACCAAATGTCTTATGAATCACGACGATGTTTTGATGTATCAACGCTTATCAATGCATTTTACGTGGTCATGGAGACTAAGTTTGGCTAAGCCTTGAAAAACTCGAAGTTTGGTCACTTTAAAAGAAGGAGAAAGGTTAGCAACTGCATTGCATTTGCAAATGATGCTTTGATGTTCTTCAATGAATACATTTTGTTTGACGTTTAAAAAAATGTGTGGAAAAATTTATCAGAAAGATTCTAATCCTCGATTTTTTGACTCAATTACGAATTTTTTTTAAATGTAGCTCAAAATTTACCGAACCCTCCAAAAAATTTCTTTCATTTTACTTTTCTTTACGTATTCAACCATTCATTTAACATAATTATAACATCGGAAAAATTCGGCCGGGCATGAAAATATTTTTTAAATTTACGTACGCACAAAAACTTCCGATTTACGAGAGGAGTTACGGCGGTAGAACCTATAATTCTTGGTGCCCAGTTTTAATATATATGAAATTTATTCTATGCGCAGACAAAATTCCCCCCCTGCTAGCGAGCTCAAGACGTGTTAGATAACATATTTATAAAATAAATTAAATAGTACGCACGCTGTGATTGGTTGATAGCCATGTTTGCATGAGGATATGTAAACACAGTTGTGACGTCACAACTTTCGTGTTTTCCCAGTACAAGTTCAAAAATTAAAACTTTACAGTTTCTTTCGAGGAAAAAAACGCCCCCAAAAATGTGTTTTGAAGATGAAGTTCCAAATTTTGACTTGTGTCAGGGCCACAGGCATAACCCTATGGTCTCATGCAGGTCTTTCTGATCGTAATATCATGACAATAGAGAGTTTTAGATTGACTTTTTTTCCTCCCCGCAAACGGCAAACGTGACCACGTTTTC